ATATGAGTGCTACCTCTGCTGCATCCAACAATTTCGAGCTCATTAAGAAAGAGGAAATTTGCTGTTTCTAGCAACCTCTAAACGCCAGAATAAAATGTTGCTGATGATTGCTAGACAGGGCAAGAAGTAGCCCACTAGCCTAAGCTAAGGTTGCTAGAAATAGCAGAAGTTGGAGGAACCTTGGTGGTAGCTAAATAGAGGTAGCCGAAGTAGGTGAAAACAGGCGGTTTCTGCCATACAGGTGGTATAGTAGCTGGATAGAGGAAGAGGTAGCATACATATCAGAGGTTGCTAGAAAGATCTAAAATTATGACGTACTGATGGTGGTAGCTGGGTAGAGTTGACATGGAGTTAGCAGAATGTAGCTAAAAGTAGTTTCTGCTACATGAGGTTGGATTCAAGTTGATTAGCCATAATAGCCAAGCAGTACTGGAGAGAGCCCCAGAGAGGGAGCTGAAGGCAGCCTAAGATAGCTGGAAGGAGCTTCTGAAACTGAGTATTTTCGCAGTTATACCAAAATTAAAGTTAGGTGGTATGTGCTGCTCCATAAATGTTATCCGAATGTGTTCATGTTTTAAAAACTAAGCACTATAGAGTATAGACCCTATGTTTCTTTACAGTTGGTATATAAATGTGGCCATCGTAGTTACTTTGAGTTCAAAGAGGGGCCCCTACAACGTTCAGAAGCCGAGATAGAAAAGTCACATATTTGCGCCTGGAGGTAATTTAGGAGTTTTGCACCCTAGAGCTAGAATTGAAACTACCAATAGAATTTGCGTACCTTATCATTTCTGATTCAGAATGACCTGACAAAGGATCCTGTGTTTAGAAACGTTGCAGACACTGAACTTCATACTCGATTTCACTTAACTTCTAAGAGTCGATTTTTACTCACGCCCCAAGTGAAAATCGGTTTTACTGAATTTTCCCAAAAAATAAGCATTCTGGGCCTTCATGACCCTCATAGTGCCAATATAAACATGTACATTGCGGTCATTTTAAGCCCACCTTTGAGTCTCTAAGTCCTTCAGAAGCTGAGATACAAATTTCCCATATTCGCACATAATATGAAATATGGGCGTGGCTCCACAGGGTTAAAACTACTAAAAGAATTTGCTTACTTTACCAATTCCGATTTAGAATGACCTAACTGCAGAGGACCCTGTGTTTAGAAATGTTGTAGTCACTGAACTGCTTACTCGATTTTCACTTAATTTATAGTGTAAATTTTTTACTCGCGCCCAAGTGAAAATTGGTTTTTCTGAATTTTTTCCAAAAATAAGCATTTTGGGCTTTCATGACCTTCATAGTACCAATATAAACATGTGCATTGCGGTCATTTTAAACTCAAGTTTGAGTCTCTAAGACCTCCAGAAGCTGAGATACATATTTCCCATATACGCACCTGATATGAAATATGGGCGTGGCTCCACAGGGTTGGGACTAGCGACACAACATGCGGCCCTCGATTTTTTGAGTTACCAATGACCTATTTAACCCGATTTAGCAGCAAAAAACTGTGGACATCGAAGTGCACACTCAACTCCTCCCTGCTACTGGAGTATATATAACAATTCTATTATAGCTTGTGATTGGCAGCCGGAAAGTGAAAGAACATTACGGGCGCGGGCGGCTAAGAAAACGATTTGGTAAGCAAAAATGATTCCAAACATTTATCAGTGGTTACCATTATATATATATAATATTACGACAGTACTATATTACGACGGTACTATATTACGACGGTACTATATAAAGACGGTACTATATTACGACGGTACTATATTAATTACGACGGTACTATATTACGACGGTACTATATTATGACGGTACTATATTACGACGGTACTATATTATGACGGTACAATATTATGACGGTACTATATTACGACGGTACTATATTACAACGGTACTATATTACGACGGTACTATATTATGACGGTACTATATTATGACGGTACTATATTACGACGGTACTATATTATGACGGTACTATATTATGACGGTACTATATTACGACGGTACTACATTATGACGGTACTATATTACGACGGTACTATAATATGAAAGTACTATATTACAACGGTACTATATTATGACGGTACTATATTACAAAGGTACTATATTATGACGGTACTATATTGACTTCTGACTTAAGTCGGCTTCTTGGTCCGAGCAACTACAATTCCTCGCCACACGTCGCGGTCAAGCATAACAGATCTTATCTCTTCAACACAGGAAAGGCTGGTGTCCTTCTTTAGCATGTCCAGAAACGTAAGGTGGGGCCTCCCCGGTCTCCTGTATCCATGCTGAGGGTCCCAGAACAGAAGTTGGTTTGCCAGAAGGTCGTCATGCCTGGCTACATGTCCAGCCAGTCTCATTCTTCTGGAGGCTATCATCGCTGATGGCTTGGGGATGTTGCCGTATAAATCACTGTTGTTGATGATTTGTGGCCAACGTATGTTCAAGGCCATCCGGAGCATTCTAGTGTAGCATCCATTGATCCGCTTAGATATGGATTGGCTTATCGTCCAAGCTTCAGAGCCGTACAGGAGTACGGGCTCAACCGTTGCCCGAAAGACACGGATCTTTAAGTCCCTGCGCATTCCAGACTTCCAGGTTGTCTTTAACTGATGACAGGCCCCCCATGCCTTTGCTTTCCTAACATCAAAGTCCTTCTCCGCACTCATTATTCTGCTTCCAAGGTAGACAAAGTCATCTACTTGCTCTATCTCCTGCCCACTTGCTGCTTTAATGACGGTAGAGTCAGACTCAGAGAGATTGACTCTGAAGTCTGATGTACTTCGTCTTACTCTCGTTGAGGTGAAGTCCAACGGAGTTAGCAGCCAGCTCCACACTGAGGAGAAGATCTTGCGCTTGCTCTGCGGTGTCTGTTGTCAGTGCAAGATCGTCAGCAAAGTCGACATCTGTCATCTTAACTGCTGGGTATCTCCTGCTTCTTCTGGGGTTGCGACAGGACTATATTACGACGGTACTATATTACGACGGTACTATATTATGACGGTACTATATTACGACGGTACTATATTATGACGGTACTATATTATGACGGTACTATGTTGCAACGGTACTATATTATGACGGTACTATAATATTACGCCAGTACTATATTACGACGGTACTATATTATGACGGTACTATATTACGACGGTACTATATTACGACGGTACTATATTATGACGGTACTATATTACGACGGTACTATATTACGACGGTACTATATTACGACGGTACTATATTACAACGGTACTATATTACAACAGTACTATATTACAACAGTACTATATTACGACGGTACTATATTATGACGGTACAATATTATGACGGTACTATATTATGACGGTACTATATTATTACAGTACTATATTATGACGGTACTATATTACGACGGTACTATATTATGACGGTACTATATTATGACGGTACTATATTATGACGGTACTATATTACGACGGTACTATATTATGACGGTACAATATTATGACGGTACTATATTATGACGGTACTATATTATTACAGTACTATATTATGACGGTACTATATTACGACGGTACTATATTATGACGGTACTATATTATGACGGTACTATATTATGACGGTACTATATTATGACGGTACTATATTATGACGGTACAATATTATGACGGTACTATATTATGACGGTACTATATTATTACAGTACTATATTATGACGGTACTATATTACGACGGTACTATATTATGACGGTACTATATTATGACGGTACTATATTATGACGGTACTATATTATGACGGTACTATATTATGACGGTACTATATTAATTACGACGGTACTATATTACGACGGTACTATATTACAACAGTACTATATTACAACAGTACTATATTACGACGGTACTATATTATGACAGTACTATATTATGACGGTACTATATTATGACGGTACAATATTATGACGGTACTATATTACGACGGTACTATATTACGACGGTACTATATTATGACGGTACTATATTATGACGGTACTATATTATGACGGTACTATATTATTACAGTACTATATTATGACGGTACTATATTATGACGGTACTATATTACGACGGTACTAAATTATGACAGTACTATATTATGACGGTAATATATTACAACAGTACTATATTACGACGGTACTATATTATGACAGTACTATATTATGACGGTACTATATTACGACGGTACTATATTACGACGGTACTATATTATGACGGTACTATATTATGACGGTACTATATTACGACGGTACTATATTACGACGGTACTATATTACGACGGTACTATATTACGACGGTACTCGGGTACTATATTATGACGGTACTATATTATTACAGTACTATATTATGACGGTACTATATTATGACGGTACTATATTACGACGGTACTATATTATGACGGTACTATATTATGACGGTACTATATTACGACGGTACTATATTACGACGGTACTATATTACGACGGTACTATATTACGACGGTACTCGGGTACTATATTATGACGGTACTATATTATTACAGTACTATATTATGACGGTACTATATTATGACGGTACTATATTACGACGGTACTATATTATGACAGTACTATATTATGACGGTACTATATTACAACAGTACTATATTACGACGGTACTATATTATGACAGTACTATATTATGACGGTACTATATTACGACGGTACTATATTACGACGGTACTATATTATGACGGTACTATATTATGACGGTACTATACTATGACGGTACTATATTATGACGGTACTATATTACGACGGTACTATATTACGACGGTACTCGGGTACTATATTATGACGGTACTATATTACGACGGTACTATATTACGACGGTACTATATTATGACGGTACTATGTTGCGACAGGACTATGATATTAATATTACGACAGTTCTTAACCTTAACAGCCAACCTATTGAAATATTTTTATTTGTGTATCTTTAAATTGATTGTAATTTAATCATGTATATCAAGAACATTTGAACGCGTTAGTGCCGAGTAATTGATCCAATGTCAACAGACTGGATTAATTTTTAGGTTTTACAAAATTATATAGTTGCTATAATTGTTTTAATGTTTAATAAAATGTCAATTGTCATTTGCAGGTCAATTCAGTTCTCTATAAAACAAAGCTAAACAAGAAGAAAAGGAGTACTAAACAGCTTAAGGTTATTATAAAAACTATATTTTACTTTTTTATCGTTAATGGTAACTAACTGTGTGAAAACTGATAAGTACCTATTTGACTTAAAAAGATTTAATGCTCTATTGTTCATTTTGAACATGACCACTGGACAAATAACTAAAAAATTTCAGGATCATTTCACCTACACGTGAGATTGTCAAGAAACAAGCTGGTTTTATTCTCAAGCAGCTCAAAAATCTGTTCTGAACACAAGGTAAACCAACTATAAGACATTACCTAGTCTCCTTATATTTTAGCATTTTATTTAAAATCTGGGGGGGGGGGGGGGGGGGGGGGCAACCATATTAAAGTATATCCCCGGGTCAAAATCGGAAAAAATCCTACATTTTAATATACTTCAATATACCTACAATTAGAAGATTTATATTCTTCGTTAAGATTTACATGATGAACTATATTTTTCACTCAGATTCGCAAGATAAGCCTGTTTTAGGACTAGTACATGAATTTCCATCCAGATTGGTCAAAAATTGGCTGAGCTATGAGCTTAAAAAAATATGCCCATATTTGGGCATACGCTTTTGCCCAAATTCGCTTTTGCCCAAATTCGATAAAATTTCAATATTATTTTAATGAGACTAACTCTATGTGAAAGATATAACTCAGTGTTTGTTGAATATAGTGGATACTAAGTAAAAAGACCTCCATGAACAAAATTGGGAAAATTGCACATAATATCTCGGTTCGGAATACTAGCCAAAATGACTTCATTAAAATTGAAATAACTCCATCAGTTTTCAATATTTTTTCAAGAAATTTTTGGAATCGATTAAGAATTGCATTTCAAGCTTATTTTGGGCAACAATTTTTGATGTAGGCCTCCAAGGAGATAGGGATATATTAAAGTATATTGTAGATATATTAAAGTATATTAAAGTATATCCCCGGGTCAAAATCGGGAAAAATCCTACATTTCAATATACTTTAATATGGTTGCCCCCCCCCCCCCTCCCCCAAAATCTTCATAAAATTCATGTTTATATAGGGCAAATGCTGAAAACGAAAAAATGATTTACCAAATACTGGCGAGGTATCGGCGAAAAAGTGCCTCAATCACGTGATATGAATTAGTAAAAGCCGATATGACCATATAAAGATATAATAAGGAAGTTGGTTTAATTTTCCGTTAGAATTAAGGTATTAGCATATGCTTCGGTTAGAGATTGGGTTGGCATCAGTGTCATGTAGATATCATGTAGGGGTTTCGCTGAGCTTCCATTTGTTTGACAATTCAAATTCCGGTTTGCCTCAGCGTAATGAGAGCCGAAGAAAACGCTCGTTCTGGCAATCAATGCTGTCGTTCATTTCATAGTAAGGGTCTGCGTTCAGGTTAAGGGTGTAAAAATGAATCGTGTTCTGAATAAGGATTGACCCGTGAAGTGTTTCAAGTGGTTATGCACGATAACAGAATCAGCACGACCGTTTTTAAGACACCAGCGCTGATGAGGACTACATCAGATTGTTCTATTTAGGCTTGATGTTGCACTAAGTCTTTTATTTTGTGTTCGATAGACTCGGCCTGGCTCAACTGCCTTATACTTATAGAGCGAAAAACTATCTGTCCATTCCTATAACTCATCTTATATAGTTAAACCTCATATACATACTGTTATCAATCTACCTTTTTAATTGTTCGTATTGCGTCCAAAAATACACCTACTCAGATCAATTTCATACCCAAAGGGCCTTTACACAAGAATTTTCTTAAAATTTGGGCGAGCGATTTAGTAGGACTAGGAGCGATTGATTCGTGATAAAAGGGACAGTTACAATATTCCGTATTATTACGACCTGTTTCTGACCGTACATTTTCTTGTATGATTTTATCTTTAAAAGTTTAAAGTTTCTTTTCGAGTATGACTATGAGTGTTGTGCCTTATAACCTGCCTACCTAGCTCATAGGCTTCTTCCAACCTGTACAGTGTACACCCGCTAGCTAAAAGTTTTTTTCGAGGAAATTGAAAATCTATTATGTTACATAGTTTTTTGTTATCATCTATGATCTAGGCTCTAGCTCCGTAACATAAATTGTATGGATTTTTATTTGCCAATGATGACAAAGGTTTAAGTATTGTCTAATCGATACTTGTTACTGCATCAAAAAACATCAATCACAACCAAAGTTATGGATAGTCATAGCGTAATTGTAATGTGAGCTAGTTAGCTAGTTATGACGCACTTATGAGGCAGGTTATAAAGCACTGCGACGCGCGTTGCTAACCTGTGTTGTATACTGTGGTTGCTCGCGCACGTGCAATCTCTTGATGTTGCTACGCAACGACGTAGTTAACCTTTAACTCTTTAAATTATCAGTGTTTTTTCAAGTTTAAAATATTATATACTTATAGATATACCAAAGTTCTAAATAACAGATAGTGTAAACACAACGCTGTTATCTAATCTTTCTTTAAAAGAAGAGAATTATAAATGTTGCATTCTGTGCCAATTTGCTCTGTCAAAGCAATATTCTTAAGATGATTAATAAATTACGACAACTTAAGTCGCGCTTTATCGACGAGAAAAAACGCTTGGGCCTCCGGCGTCCAATTTATGTCCGCTCAAACAAAATCGATAAGATAGCTCAGTTTTACGCCCACAACTTCTCATAACTTAGGTTACCGTTAATATGATCGATATTTTTGATGTGGTGAAATACTTAAAACTTTGTTGTCATTGTCAAATAAGGTCAAATAACATCCATACTTTCTACAGTGCTGAACAAGATGAAGAGAAATTAAAACATAACTGATTTTAAATATCTCGAGTAAAGCTGTCGACTAGCGCATTTCTAATTCTAATCTAATGTGAAAACTTTTTATAATACATTTCAGTCGAAGATAAGAACAGTCTGATAAGAATAGACAATCCAGAGCAAGAACCAGGTAAGATGATTACTATAAATAGTAAACTTGGTACAAAAGAGGAAATATCTTCTCTCGCTACCAAACTTCGCTCAGTTCCTGATGATAAGAACGACACAGTATGCCCAGATGTGGTAAAGAAGCTGAAACAAACTGAGTTTTACAGTGTGGTTGTTGATTTGTATAAGAGTAATGAGGAGTTGCAATTTAGGAGGGATGCAACTTTCTTATTGAGAAGGGTCGGATACTACGGTGATAAGGAAGATTTAAAGGAGCTAGTTCATAGAGGTATAGTGAGGCTCATCCTTACAGACTGTGTTTACTCAACAGATGCAGATCTCATAACAAACGTAGTGACAGTCTTAAGAGATGTATGTTCCAAACATAACAGGGTTCTTTTGTCAGACATTGCCGAGGAGGGTCTTTATGATAAAGTGATATACCTGCTGGAGACCTGGAAAAGTAACGATGTTATAGCTGGAGAATACTTTCCATGATCAACACGATATGTTCTTATGAGATGTCACTAGGTGAAGATATTGTTTCATTAAACCAGCCTAGATTGGTTGATATACTGAGAAATAAACATCAACTTCTTAGAGAAATAATAAGTTCGGACACAAGCTGTAAAGTAACTGCTGCGATACTGTTATTCAAATACCTGGGCAGTATTGAGGAAAGTGAGCTATTACAACTGTTAATACCACCGACAAATGAAATGTTCACTGAGGGCGGGATTGTAAAGCTAGCTAGTAACATAGAAGCGATACCTGGTGAAGAAGAAGAATTTGAAAAACAAGTAATCAGAGAGGTTGTTTCAGCTGACTTTATCAGCAAGTTTAGTGAACAGTACGACAGTAATACTGAGGAGGTGTATCGTAGAAACCTGACATATGTGATGAAAAGAGTAGCTTATCTAGGAGATACAGCTGTAAGAAGCTCACTGGTTAAAAGTGGTGTAATGAAACATTTAATAACAACATGTGAACTTTGCACTGACAGTGAGGTTATGTGCAATATATCAGCTACTCTAAGTAGTGTTGTATACGATAACGGTGATATCTCACATGTAGACCACCTTGTTGAGGAGGGAGTTCTAACCCTTATATCTAAACTACTACAGAAGTGGAGTAAAGATGACACTGTGATGGTTAGGTTACTTGAACTTTACAGAACATTACCTGTAATAGGGAGGATATCAGTGAGTTAATAGCTAACAGTACAGAGTACGGAGATATACCTCTACTCCTACAAGGGTTATTAGAAACAGCTTCCAGTGACAGTGTTATTGTGCAGACTATTGAAGGTGATCAGGAATTTAGTAGTGGGGACTGATGTACTTCACACAGTGTTTCTACACGCAAGCTTCTTTACCACAGCTTTCCGACACCTGCAATCAACTACACTAAACAGTGATAGTAAGCAGTACCTGCTGTGTGGTATCATATGTACATTAGCAAACAAGAATACTGATAAAATGAAAGATCTTCTGATTCCTTACTCTCAACCACTGAAAGAATTAGCCAAGACGGGGAGTGATAGTGTGTTAAGTGTAAATGCTGCGATACTGTTAAATAAATACCTGGACAGTATTGAGGAAAGTGAGCTATTACAACTGTTAATACCACCGACAAATGAAATGTTCACTGAGGGAGGTATTGTAAAGCTAGCTAGTAACATAAAAGCGATACCTGATGAAGAAGAAGAATTTGGAAAACAAGTAATCAGAGAGGTTGTTTCAGCTGACTTTATCAGCAAGTTTATTGAACAGTACGACAGTAATACCGAGGAGGTGTATCGTAGAAACCTGACATATGTGCTGAGAAGAGTAGCTTGTCTAGGAGATAAAGCTGTAATAAGCTCACTGGTTAAAAGTGGTGTAATAAAACATTTAATAACAACATGTGAACATTGCACTGACAGTGAGGTTATGTGCAATATATCAGTTACTCTACAGAACATTGCATACGATAACGGTGATCTCTCACATGTTGACCACCTTGTTGAGGAGGGAGTTCTAACCCTTATATCTAAACTACTACAGAAGTGGAGTGAAGATGACACTGTGATGGTTAGGTTACTTGTAACTTTACAGTACATTACCTGTAATAGGAAAGATATCAAGGAGTTAATAGCTAACAGTACAGAGTACGGAAATATACCTCTACTCCTACAAGAGTTATTAGAAACAGCTTCCAGTGACAGTGTTATTGTGGAGACTATTGATGTGATCAGGAATTTAGTAGTGGGGACTGATGTACTTCACACAGTGTTTCTACACGCAAGCTTCTTTACCACAGCTTTCCGACACCTGCAATCAACTACACTAAACAGTGATAGTAAGCAGTACCTACTGTGTGGTATAATATGTACATTAGCAAACAAGAATACTGATAAAATGAAAGATCTTCTGATTCCTTACTCTCAACCACTGAAAGAATTTGCCAAGACGGGGAGTGATAGTGTGTTAAGTGTAAATGCTGCGATACTGTTAAATAAATACCTGGGCAGTATTGAGGAAAGTGAGCTATTACAACTGTTAATACCGCCGACAAATGAAATGTTCACTGAGGGCGGTATTGTAAAGTTAGCTAGTAACATAAAAGCGATACCTGATGAAGAAGAAGAATTTGAAAAACAAGTAATCAGAGAGGTTGTTTCAGCTGACTTTATCAGCAAGTTTAGTGAACAGTACGACAGTAATACTGAGGAGGTGTATCGTAGAAACCTGACATATGTGATAAGTAGAGTAGCTTATCTAGGAGATAAAGCTGTAATAAGCTCACTGGTTAAAAGTGGTGTAATGAAACATTTAATAACAACATGTGAACTTTGCACTGACAGTGAGGTTATGTGCAATATATCAGCTACTCTAAGTAGTTTGCATACGATAAAGGTGATTTCTCACATGTTGACCACCTTGTTGAGGAGGGAGTTCTAACCCTTATATCTAAACTACTACAGAAGTGGAGTAAGATGACACTGTGATGGTTAAGTTACTTGGAACTTTACAGAACATTACCTGTAATAGGGAGGATATCAGTGAGTTAATAGCTAACAGTACAGAGTACGGAGATATACCCGAACTAGTGACAAATATTTTTCAAACAAGCAGTAATGTTGAGGTACTGGAGAGCACTATTGATTGTATTTACAACATGTTACAAGGGAGCATGGCTTTACATGAGCACTTCTCCAACAAACAACTCATAGACACGTGTATCTCCCGGATCAGATCTGATGTGTTATCTTCTGAGTACAAAATCAAGATATTACGGATTATTGTCACCAGGCTCACATGCAACCACCCTGCTAAAGTTGCTGCATTGTTAGTTCCACACACACATTCTTTGAAGGAAATCGCCGAGTTAGACACTGACAGTAAGTTATCTAGACTTGCTGCACAGTTGATAAATACGTACTTAAGTTGTGGAGAAAAGCGACATAAATGTGTTTTGGTCAACACACTGTTTATATTAAATATCTTGAAATTTTTTGCTCTATATATTGTAGACATTGTTTTAGACATTAAAGTAGGGATAAACTCTGTTAATGATGCTACTTTGAGCACACGGTATGAGGGTTATTGTTTACTTTTATTTAGTATTTTACCTTTGATTTATCTAAATTATCAATCTGTTTTACGGTATTACATTCAATGCTGGAGCAGGGTAACTGTCGATCCTGTGATATCTCTACAGGGATCAAACAGAGGACGAATAATGAAGTTATTTTTCCCTTGGAGGTTTGACAGTGTAAAACACACTATCTTGAACATTTTAACAGTATTACAGCTGCATCCCCTTATAACAGCTTTTGAGCTGGTGTTTCATCGGAGTAAAACGCTGGATACAATCATAAGTAATAAATTTCATTTTGGAAGACTCTCCACTCAAGAGAAGATCCTAGAGAATGTGCCCTGCACTCTTATCAAGGGTATAATTTTGTATAAATTTATCGACAACAACAAAAGTAATGTTGATTTTAGTTTGGGATCAGATGAATATGTTACCCTATTTTCAACTGTATATGGTATACTAACACTCTGCTATAAAGTAGCAAGTTTTGAAGAGTTGTGCAGGAGTGCAGACAATTCTCCTGGAGCCCTCACGACATGTCAGAAACTAGTGTCGTTCATAGGAGTATTGCTCTCACTTAATTCACGACTCATCATGTGCCTTGTTCTATTCAGCGTGATGCGTGATAATGGAACTATGTGGATTTTTACCATCAGTGTATTTCTTCACATATTGTTATCTTCTGTTACTCACTTACTATCTCATCACGAGTGGCAGTCTCCTTATGACTTTTCGATGGTAAAAAGAAAATTTGTGATAAAGGATTTTATTCTGAGAGAAGGCGGAAACAAAAACAGTAAACTTGTAGTGATTGGACGCTGCGCACTAGTGTTCTGTCTATCATGGAGTGAATCCTTTATAGTGAGCCTCCGACATCCTATAGATCTGGTGTCAGGACATTTTCCAAGCACTTATCATTTGAGATCAAGACGACAGTTTTTCTTGATTTATGTGTTTCACCTGTTAGAAGTGATAACCGTCACGGTTTTAGCAAACACTCTCAACTCTAAACGATGGATAATGGATTTGGGGTATGTATCGCTGGCACTATTTCTCATATCTGGTGCAATGTATATGCTGTACTTAACAGTTCTTAATCCAGACAAGACATCTAAATTATTGTCGGTTTCAATCAACCCCAGGTTGAAGCAGTTTGGATATAAATCCCAGGTGACCACAAGCACTCGATTTTGTCATGTAACTGAAAAAGCAACAAAGATAAACAGCACAAAAGTCTACTCGTCCAATCAGTATAATTACAGACTCCAAGTTCTAGATCCCTGTTATGACTGCATGTTGGGTAGGGAACACACAGATAAAGATAAACCTGTTAGTCAGAGCAAATGCTGCTCACGATCAAGTTTTCTGAAGAAACTTAGAAACTGCTTTACTCGACCATTTAATAGCACTTACAGGAGACTCTCGCCCTCAATTAGTGATGCTGAGAATCTTGCTGAGAATCTTCAGTTGCGTCGTAAGGACGTGGATTTGCTCATTACTAAAGTGAGAAAGTACGACAATATTCATCTTCATCTGTTAGATTTATTTCCTGGTATTGAGAACATTGACCCCAATCTTATCTCGAGGTGTAGAGCGATTGGTTCAAATGTGTTCCGCAGTATTGAAGATATCAGGGACGATGAGTTGAGTCCTAATCTCGTACCAGCGTGCAACAAACTGAAAGTTAGAATAGAAAACAAGTACACTGATGCGACTGAAGGTGACATTCTCAATGATGAGCTGGTTGAACAGATCAGTAACCTCTGCGAAGAATACTTTTCCTTAAAAGAGCAGCAATGGGAAAATAAGGTTCTTGCCTGGTGTGAAACAGCTCCCACTGAGATTCTTACTAAATACCGCTTCAAAAAATGGGGTTCAGCTCAATGTATAAAGGATATTGAGAAGTGGATAACAGAAAAAGAAAGACTCGCAGTATACTTGAACCCTTGTAATAATAACGCATCATACCTTCCTGACACTACTATAGTGCTGTACGATGAGAAACACTCTAATTTCCACATCAACGGGGTTAAAACACCCTCAAAACACGGCTGGGTAACCAGAAAAGTTGCAGAACTGAGGAACTGTTACCATAGAAACAGGAGGAATTCTTCATCAGGACAAACAAAGTATCAGCCTGTCGGACAAGATATTGTTGCCATAGAAACAGGACAAGATATTGTTGCCATAGAAACAGGACAAGATATTGTTAATTCAGCAGTTTAGTTTGTCAGTTTATACGATGTTTGAAGTTTGTTGTTAATGTGGTATTACTATTCTGGTACAATGTGGTCCGCCTTCTCCATTCTAACTAGATATTTACAAATAAGTATTTAGAAACTTACATAATGCCATATTTTCTGTCTTATATTCAATAACCACACTTTGAAGTGATATTGTGTAATCCATTAGAAATGATATTACTTTATCTCAGTAGTTAATGATACCGATATAATTTTATTAGAAATGATGTTACTTTATTGATAATGATATTACTTTATAAGCACTTATATTACTTTATTAGCACTTATATTACTTTATTAGTAATAAAGTAACATCATTACTACATTATTGGTGTGCAGCAGTTTTAATTTATAATATGAACAGTGAATATCTCAGATGTACCCAGTACCCAAAAATAATCCCGCGTGCAAATGAACATTATTATGTTAATAACATTATTATGTTACATAACAATGTAACATTGATTACATTATTATGTTAATAACATTATTATGTTAATTACATTATTATGTTAATTACCCCTCTTGATAATGTATCTGGCTAGATGTTAAGACACGTGACTGAGATTGGTAATGCTGGAAGCTGATTGGTTAATCAATGACTCAATCTGTTTACCGCGTCTATATCTCTCCCAAGAGTGTTACCATGGTAACGCTACCATATAAGGTAATATTATGGTGGTATCCAGATCTCAGAGTTGAGTCTGCTTTTATTTGGATCTATCGGCAACTTATTTCCCTTTTTGTCGATATGATATATCTATAATACTATGAACATACCAATTATTTTGGTTAATTTGACCTGGGTACAACGCTTGCACCTTCTGAAATTCATCCATCTATCCATCGATAGAAATCAAACTTATCTCTATAAATTTACCTTACGTTTGTTATGTCGCTTTTCTCCACGATTCTAATGTATTTACCAATTGTATGTTCGTGATATGAGTGAACAGTGAATGTTACTGCTTTATTGTTGGTGTATACTGTGTATATTCAGTTGAATACTACTACTTTTCTAACTGTATCTGAGCATATGTTACAGACTCGTTATTTATACGTTTTACTTGTGTTTGATTACTGAGTTTGTCTGAATAATGCCCCCCCCCCCTGAAAATTATCTTTTAAAACTTCAGTTTTAATCAGTGTTCAATTGTAAAGATCTTTCTAATTTCTAATATACATTATACTGCAGTATAGTCAATAGTTTTATTATTTTATTCTAACAGTGAAATCATTTAACAATATGTGATATGTCTAGAAGATCAGATGATATCAGATACAAGACAGAGATCAGATCTGATCAACTAAAACAGCGTTTCTGCACGTGCGAAGAAATATCTGGTGAAGTGGTAAGTTAAAAAGGTGCAAAATGATTTTTGTGAGATTAATTCTTTAAATCTACTTTTTAATAACCATCTGATTGTGTCTTATATTAAACATGTATTAATGAATTTCAATTCAAATATTGATCTCCTTAGTGACTGGGTAATGTATACACTACTTGTTGCAGTGTTAGCAATACTTCTGGGTAATGTATACACTACTTGTTGCAGTGTTAGCACTACTTCTGGGTAATGTATACACTACTTGTTGCAGTGTTAGCATTACTTCTGGGTAATGTATACACTACTTGTTGCAGTGTTAGCATTACTTCTGGGTAATGTATACACTACTTGTTGCAGTGTTAGCATTACTTCTGGGTAATGTATACACTACTTGTTGCAGTGTTAGCACTACTTCTGGGTAATGTATACACTACTTGTTGCAGTGTTAGCATTACTTCTGGGTAATGTATACACTACTTGTTGCAGTGTTAGCATTACTTCTGGGTAATGTATACACTACTTGTTGCAGTGTTAGCATTACTTCTGGGTAAGTAATGTATACACTACTTGTTGCAGTGTTAGCATTACTTCTGGGTAATGTATACACTACTTGTTGCAGTGTTAGCATTACTTCTGGGTAATGTATACACTACTTGTTGCAGTGTTAGCACTACTTCTGGGTAATGTATACACTACTTGTTGCAGTGTTAGCATTACTTCTGGGTAATGTATACACTACTTGTTGCAGTGTTAGCATTACTTCTGGGTAATGTATACACTACTTGTTGCAGTGTTAGCATTACTTCTGGGTAATGTATACACTACTTGTTGCAGTGTTAGCACTACTTCTGGGTAATGTATACACTACTTGTTGCAGTGTTAGCACTACTTCTGGGTAATGTATACACTACTTGTTGCAGTGTTAGCACTACTTCTGGGTAATGTATACACTACTTGTTGCAGTGTTAGCACTACTTCTGGGTAATGTATACACTACTTGTTGCAGTGTTAGCACTACTTCTGGGTAATGTATACACTACTTGTTGCAGTATTAGCATTACTTCTAGGTAATGTATACACTACTTGTTGCAGTGTTAGCATTACTTCTAGGTAATGTATACACTACTTGTTGCAGTGTTAGCATTACTTCTGGGTAATGTATACACTACTTGTTGCAGTGTTAGCATTACTTCTGGGTAATGTATACACTACTTGTTGCAGTGTTAGCATTACTTCTGGGTAATGTATACACTACTTGTTGCAGTGTAAGCACTACTTCTGGGTAATGTATACACTACTTGTTGCAGTGTTAGCATTACTTCTGGGTAATGTATACACTACTTGTTGCAGTGTTAGCATTACTTCTGGGTAATGTATACACTACTTGTTGCAGTGTTAGCACTACTTCTGGGTAATGTATACACTACTTGTTGTAGTGTTAGCATTACTTGTTGCAGTGTTAGCATTACTTCTGGGTAATGTATACACTACTTGTTGCAGTGTTAGCACTACTTCTGGGTAATGTATACACTACTTGTTGCAGTGTTAGCATTACTTCTGGGTAATGTATACACTACTTGTTGCAGTGTTAGCATTACTTCTGGGTAATGTATACACTACTTGTTGCAGTGTTAGCATTACTTCTGGGTAATGTATACACTACTTGTTGCAGTGTTAGCATTACTTCTGGGTAATGTATACACTACTTGTTGCAGTGTTAGCATTACTTCTGGGTAATGTATACACTACTTGTTGCAGTGTTAGCACTACTTCTGGGTAATGTATACACTACTTGTTGCAGTGTTAGCACTACTTCTGGGTAATGTATACACTACTTGTTGCAGTGTTAGCATTACTTCTGGGTAATGTATACACTACTTGTTGCAGTGTTAGCATTACTTCTGGGTAATGTATACACTACTTGTTGCAGTGTTAGCACTACTTCTGGGTAATGTATACACTACTTGTTGCAGTGTTAGCATTACTTCTGGGTAATGTATACACTACTTGTTGCAGTGTTAGCACTACTTCTGGGTAATGTATACACTACTTGTTGCAGTGTTAGCACTACTTCTGGGTAATGTATACACTACTTGTTGCAGTGTTAGCATTACTTCTGGGTAATGTATACACTACTTGTTGCAGTGTTAGCATTACTTCTGGGTAATGTATACACTACTTGTTGCAGTGTTAGCACTACTTCTGGGTAATGTATACACTACTTGTTGCAGTGTTAGCATTACTTCTGGGTAATGTATACACTACTTGTTGCAGTGTTAGCACTACTTCTGGGTAATGTATACACTACTTGTTGCAGTGTTAGCATTACTTCTGGGTAATGTATACACTACTTGTTGCAGTGTTAGCATTACTTCTGGGTAATGTATACACTACTTGTTGCAGTGTTAGCATTACTTCTGGGTAATGTATACACTACTTGTTGCAGTGTTAGCATTACTTCTGGGTAATGTATACACTACTTGTTGCAGTGTTAGCATTACTTCTGGGTAATGTATACACTACTTGTTGCAGTGTTAGCATTACTTCTGGGTAATGTATACACTACTTGTTGCAGTGTTAGCATTACTTCTGGGTAATGTATACACTACTTGTTGCAGTGTTAGCATTACTTCTGGGTAATGTATACACTACTTGTTGCAGTGTTAGCACTACTTCTGGGTAATGTATACACTACTTGTTGCAGTGTTAGCATTACTTCTGGGTAATGTATACACTACTTGTTGCAGTGTTAGCATTACTTCTGGGTAATGTATACACTACTTGTTGCAGTGTTAGCATTACTTCTGGGTAATGTATACACTACTTGTTGCAGTGTTAGCACTACTTCTGGGTAATGTATACACTACTTGTTGCAGTGTTAGCACTACTTCTGGGTAATGTATACACTACTTGTTGCAGTGTTAGCATTACTTCTGGGTAATGTATACACTACTTGTTGCAGTGTTAGCATTACTTCTGGGTAATGTATACACTACTTGTTGCAGTGTTAGCATTACTTCTGGGTAATGTATACACTACTTGTTGCAGTGTTAGCATTACTTCTGGGTAATGTATACACTACTTGTTGCAGTGTTAGCATTACTTCTGGGTAATGTATACACTACTTGTTGCAGTGTTAGCATTACTTCTGGGTAATGTATACACTACTTGTTGCAGTGTTAGCACTACTTCTGGGTAATGTATACACTACTTGTTGCAGTGTTAGCATTACTTCTGGGTAATGTATACACTACTTGTTGCAGTGTTAGCATTACTTCTGGGTAATGTATACACTACTTGTTGCAGTGTTAGCACTACTTCTGGGTAATGTATACACTACTTGTTGTAGTGTTAGCATTACTTGTTGCAGTGTTAGCATTACTTCTGGGTAATGTATACACTACTTTTTGCAGTGTTAGCACTACTTCTGGGTAATGTATACACTACTTGTTGCAGTGTTAACATTACTTCTGGGTAATGTATACACTACTTAATGCAGTGTTAGCATTACTTCTGGGTAATGTATACACTACTTGTTGCAGTGTTAGCATTACTTCTGGGTAATGTATACACTACTTGTTGCAGTGTTAGCATTACTTCTGGGTAATGTATACACTACTTGTTGCAGTGTTAGCATTACTTCTGGGTAATGTATACATTATTTGTTGCAGTGTTAGCACTACTTCTGGGTAATGTATACACTACTTGGTGCAGGGTTAGCACTACTTCTGGGTAATGTATACACTACTTGTTGCTGTGTTAGCATTACTTCTGGGTAATGTATACACTACTTGTTGCAGTGTTAGCATTACTTCTGGGTAATGTATACACTACTTTTTGCAGTGTTAGCACTACTTCTGGGTAATGTATACACTACTTGTTGCAGTTTTAACATTACTTCTGGGTAATGTATACACTACTTGTTGCAGTGTTAGCACTACTTCTGGGTAATGTATACACCACTTGTTGCAGTGTTAGCACTACTTCTGGGTAATGTATACACTACTTGTTGCAGTGTTAGCATTACTTCTGGGTAATGTATACACTACTTGTTGCAGTGTTAGCATTACTTCTGGGTAATGTATACACTACTTGTTGCAGTGTTAGCACTACTTCTGGGTAATGTATACACTACTTGTTGCAGTGTTAGCATTACTTCTGGGTAATGTATACACTACTTGTAGCAGTGTTAGCACTACTTCTGGGTAATGTATACACTACTTGTTGTAGTGTTAGCATTACTTCTGGGTAATGTATACACTACTTGTTGCAGTGTTAGCATTACTTCTGGGTAATGTATACACTACTTGTTGCAGTGTTAGCATTACTTCTGGGTAATGTATACACTACTTGTTGCAGTGTTAGCATTACTTTTGGGTAATGTATACACTACTTGTTGCAGTGTTAGCATTACTTTTGGGTAATGTATACACTACTTGTTGCAGTGTTAGCATTACTTCTGGGTAATGTATACACTACTTGTTGCAGTGTTAGCATTACTTCTGGGTAATGTATACACTACTTGTTGCAGTGTTAGCATTACTTCTGGGTAATGTATACACTACTTGTTGCAGTGTTAGCACTACTTCTGGGTAATGTATACACTACTTGTTGCAGTGTTAACATTACTTCTGGGTAATGTATACACTACTTGTTGCAGTGTTAGCATTACTTCTGGGTAATGTATACACTACTTGTTGCAGTGTTAGCATTACTTCTGGGTAATGTATACACTACGTGTTGCAGTGTTAGCACTACTTCTGGGTAATGTATACACTACTTGTTGCAGTGTTAGCACTACTTCTGGGTAATGTATACACTACTTGTTGCAGTGTTAGCATTACTTCTGGGTAATGTATACACTACTTGTTGCAGTGTTAGCATTACTTCTGGGTAATGTATACACTACTTGTTGCAGTGTTAGCATTACTTCTGGGTAATGTATACACTACTTGTTGCAGTGTTAGCATTACTTCTGGGTAATGTATACACTACTTGTTGCAGTGTTAGCATTACTTCTGGGTAATGTATACACTACTTGTTGCAGTGTTAGCATTACTTCTGGTATGTTTCAGTCCAAATAGATGGATTAGGACTAAATTAGACGCTGGAGACTAAATTATACTAGTATGTTTAGTTCACGCAATGTTAAATAACATCCGAACTGCTAATGTTCTAAATTATATTATATGTAGATTTAACTGTTCTACTAACAACAACAACAATGGCGAACCTAGCAAGCTAGGATCGATATCCTTTTCTTTTGCGGTGCGGCCACGGTCCTTTCGGTGCAGATTTCCCTTCAGCATAGACGGGACGCAACCCCAGGCATTGAGGCACTCGTGTTATTTTCGCACTCGTGTTCTACTAACACTACATACTATTTCAGAGTCTAGCGAATACTGGAAAGGGTGTTAAATTGTCATACGTTGTATCCCCCCCCCCCCTGTATCGTAGAAACTCTACATAGTGAAACGACCGTGGGGGTCACCACGTGATACAAGTGTTAACGCAGTCCACTTTACAGACAAAATGGTTTATTTATCTAATTTAAATGCAATTGTTTAAATAAAATTGTATTTATCTGTATACCTATAAAATACGGTTTACAATACTTTATAATTATATTTAATTTTTCAGACCAAAAATCATGATTTACGTAACTTCCCGCCAAGTCATAACGACAATATTAAAAGCTTAGTTTTTAAATGTCTTATATTTAATATTAACTATATAGTATATACTATATATTTATAAAGATCAAACATAACTCTGTAACAGCAATAAATTCAGACAGCAACTATTTCAGTTTGGCAACTCTGTGGATAAGAAAAGTTTATCAGAAGAAATGTTAGGAAGGTGCCAGGATACAGAATCTCAGAACCAACTAACAATTAAGAAGTAGAACCTTGACAGTATAACGGGGAACATGAACAATATTTAAATACGATTATCCGAACACTTCCAGAGTGCTTGATATTTCAGTGACTTATTATATTATATTATATTTTGAATGCGAATAAATATTTTGAATGCGATTAAATATTTTGAATACGGTTAAATATTTTGAATGCGATTAAATATACGGTTAGATATTTTGAATTCGAATAAATATTTTGAATACGATTAAATATTTTGAATGCGATTAAATATTTTGAATACGGTTAAATATTTTGAATTCGAATAAATATTTTGAATTCGATTAAATATTTTGCATGCGATTGAATACTTTGAATACGATTAAATATTTTGAATACGATTAAATATTTTGAATACGTTTAAATGTTTGAATGCGATTGAATATTTTGAATACGATTACATTTTTTTAATCGGTTTATTTATGAAAATTACAATTTTTCTTATTTAAATTTATAGTTTAAATTTGTATATCACTATGATCTGCTTCCAATATTTGTTTGAAATAATTTACATATTCCATACTGTTTATTTGGATGTGCTTTCTGTAGATAATAATAATCTCCACTGCACTAATATCCACTGGAGATATAGCGGAGATACGAGCGAACATGTTGCTCAAATAACAGTCTTAAAGCTAGGTGGGGCTGAAACTTACAAATGTTTCGTTGAATAGTGCTATTCACTATTGCTGTATTGTTCGCTTACATTTCTACTTAATGAACAAAGAACAGTAAAATAATTGTAATGTTTCGGTAGATTCCAATGAAATGTAACTGAAATACAACAATATAAATATAAACACAGTCCAGGTAAAGCAGAATACATTGCGACTAAAAATATAGTCTTAAAGATACAAACAAAAGGTGCAGGATTTAAAATGCTGCTCTAAGGATTTGAGATATTAACCAATCAGAGCACAGTATTCACACCACGTGACACAAACTTATCAACGTCAGTACATAATTTCAAACGTTCATATCTCATAATAAACTGAGAAGTACTGATGATTGTTTTCATTAGCACATTTTTTATTAAAGTCAACGGCATTACCATCAACTAGGGGAAACGTAGGATAACTAAAAAATAACAAACAATTAAAAAAATTGTGACTTAAAAGCTGGGTCGTTTAAAATTTACAAAGAAGAAAGCTTTGAATCTAAATTTACCGATTAAAAGTATTAATTTTGTATTAAATATAAGACACACGTAGATTGATACCGCGTGAGCACAATTAACTATAACAAATAATTAATACCAGTATATATTACTTTTACTTTGTATCACGAGCACACACCACATAACAGGAACACTCGATACATAAGGTTGTAAATGTAAGGCTGCTTTGCAAAGTGTACTATAATATTAAACAAGATAAAGTTAGCAAGTCAGGACTCAGTCATGTACACACTTATAGTCATTAAGCCGCGCACTGAACTTGATACGCAGTTTTAATAATCCGTAACCATGGTCATGGTAACACCACCTTAGTTCTCAACTTGACAATTTGCTTAATTTAAACTTAGAAGAAGCTTCTTGAATAGCACCTGTTTAAAAAGTAAGTTTTACAGATCCTCATCACGAAAATAAAAAAGTAAGTACGTTTCACATCACCAGTCACCATGGTAACTAAACCTTTTGTTTTTTGTTTTTCTTCGCGATCGGCTGAATATTCTCCTTCTCAGAAAGAGCAGGTTTTGTGGAGGAATGTTGAGTGTGTCGTGTAACAGCTGATACTCCGTCAACAAACTTCGTCCTGATAGGATGAGGGTCTTATTATAACCAATCAGAGCACAGTACTCACACCACGTGACACAAACCAACCAATCAGAGCACAGTACTCACACCACGTGACACAAACTAACCAATCAGAGCACAGTACTCACACCACGTGACACAAAGTAACCAATCAGAGCACAGTACTCACACCACGTGACACAAACTAACCAATCAGAGCACAGTACTCACACCACGTGACACAAAGTAACCAATCAGAGCACAGTACTCACACCACGTGACACAAAGTAACCAATCAGATCACAGTACTCACACCACGTGACACAAACTAACCAATCAGAGCACAGTACTCACACCACGTGACACAAACTAACCAATCAGAGCACAGTACTCACACCACGTGACACAAAGTAACCAATCAGAGCACAGTATTCACACCACGTGACACAAACTAACCAATCAGAGCACAGTACTCACACCACGTGACACAAACTAACCAATCAGAGCATAGTATTAACACCACGTGACATAAACTAACCAATCAGAGCACAGTACTCACACCACGTGACACAAACTAACCAATCAGAGCACAGTACTCACACCACGTGACACAAAGTAACCAATCAGAGCACAGTATTCACACCACGTGACACAAAGTAACCAATCAGAGCACAGTACTCACACCATGTGACACAAACCAACCAATCAGAGCACAGTATTCACACCACGTGACATAAACTAACCAATCAGAGCCCAGTACTCACACCACGTGACACAAACTAACCAATCAGAGCACAGTATTCACAAAAAAATATTCAATTAACCTGAAGAGAACGTTAGCATTCTGGAACATGCCATCTTTGAGGGAGACCACGACGAATTGAGAATGTTTGAAGTGAGCCCTCAACATCTGTCCGATGTTCTGAGTGTGGGACAAGTCTAGCGCTGCGTCCACCTGGAGAGAAACACGTGTCAGTATTCCCTAACAGATACGTTTTAGTATTTCCTAACAGAAACGTTTTAGTATTCCCTAACAGAAACGTTTTAGTATTCTCCTAACAGAACATTTCAGTATTCCCTAACAGAAACTTTTTAGTATTTCCTAACAGAAACATTTTAGCATTTCCTAACAGAAACGTTTTAGTATTCTCTAACAGAAACGTTTTAGTATTCCCTAACAAAAACGTTTTAGTATTCCCTAACATAAACGTTTTAGTATTTCCTAACAGAGGAGGATAATTAGTATAATTAGTATAATTAGTATAATTAGTATAATTACCTCGTCCAGAATGTATAGAGGAGCGGGTTTGAAGAGAAGAAGAGATAAGATAAGAGAGAGAGCCACTAAAGATCTCTGCCCCCCGCTCAGTTCTGTTAATGACTCTTTCCATACCTCACCAAACCCAACCTGCAATTATAAACTTTAAAGTAGACCAAGACAAAGCTACTTGTCTATGTTACTGAAGGAAGTTGGGACAAACTCTAAAGAGGAACTGCGAACCCTGATGCGGGACAGGGATATATTGAGGGGGGTTTCTGGCGTAGATCGGACTAAGCTCCGACATAGTAGTAGTAAAGTAAGGTAGTATAGGTTTACAAAGTAAGATATGTTTAGTGACAGGTCTCCCCTCCAAAGATATAAACATTAGCACTTACCTTGACTTCTAAACCATCAGTAACAGGTCTCCCCTCCAAAGATATAAACATTAGCACTTACCTTGACTTCTAAACCATCAGTAACAGGTCTCCCCTCTAAAGATATAAATATTAGCACTTACCTTGACTTCTAAACCATCAGTAACAGGTCCCCCCTCCAAAGATATAAACATTAGCACTTACCTTGACTTCTAAACCATCAGTAACAGGTCTCCCCTCCAAAGATATAAACATTAGCACTTACCTTGACTTCTAAACCATCAGTAACAAGTTTCCCCTCCAAAGATATAAACATTAGCACTTACCTTGACTTCTAAACCATCAGTAACAGGTCTCCCCTCCAAAGATATAAACATTAGCACTTACCTTGACTTCTAAACCATCAGTAACAGGACTCCCCTCCAAAGATATAAACATTAGCACTTACCTTGACTTCTAAACCATCAGTAACAGGTCCCCCCTCCAAAGGTATAAACATTAGCACTTACCTTGACTTCTGAACCATCAGTAACAGGTCTCCCCTCCAAACATATAAACATTAGCACTTACCTTGACTTCTAAACCATCAGTAACAGGTCTCCCCTCCAAAGATATAAACATTAGCACTTACCTTGACTTCTAAACCATCAGTAACAGGTCTCCCCTCCAAAGATATAAACATTAGCACTTACCTTGACTTCTAAACCATCAGTAACAGGTCTCCCCTCCAAAGATATAAACATTAGCACTTACCTTGACTTCTAAACCATCAGTAACAGGTCTCCCCGCCAAAGATATAAACATTAGCACTTACCTTGACTTCTAAACCATCAGTAACAGGTCTCCCCTCCAAAGATATAAACATTAGCACTTACCTTGACTTCTAAACCATCAGTAACAGGACTCCCCTCCAAAGATATAAACATTAGCACTTACCTTGACTTCTAAACCATCAGTAACAGGTCTCCCCTCCAAAGATATAAACATTAGCACTTACCTTGACTTCTAAACCATCAGTAACAGGTCTCCCCTCCAAAGATATAAACATTAGCACTTACCTTGACTTCTAAACCATCAGTAACAGGTCTCCCCTCTAAAGATATAAACATTAGCACTTACCTTGACTTCTAAACCATCAGTAACAGGTCCCCCCTACAAAGATATAAACATTAGCACTTACCTTGACTTCTAAACCATCAGTAACAGGACTCCCCTCCAAAGATATAAACATTAGCACTTACCTTGACTTCTAAACCATCAGTAACAGGTCTCCCCTCCAAAGATATAAACATTAGCACTTACCTTGACTTCTAAACCATCAGTAACAGGTCTCCCCTCCAAAGATATAAACATTAGCACTTACCTTGACTTCTAAACCATCAGTAACAGGTCTCCCCTCCAAAGATATAAACATTAGCACTTACCTTGACTTCTAAACCATCAGTAACAGGTCTCCCCTCCAAACATATAAACATTAGCACTTACCTTGACTTCTAAACCATCAGTAACAGGTCTCCCCTCCAAAGATATAAACATTAGCACTTACCTTGACTTCTAAACCATCAGTAACAGGTCTCCCCTCCAAAGATATAAACATTAGCACTTACCTTGACTTCTAAACCATCAGTAACAGGTCTCCCCTCCAAAGATATAAACATTAGCACTTACCTTGACTTCTAAACCATCAGTAACAGGTCTCCCCGCCAAAGATATAAACATTAGCACTTACCTTGACTTCTAAACCATCAGTAACAGGTCTCCCCTCCAAAGATATAAACATTAGCACTTACCTTGACTTCTAAACCATCAGTAACAGGACTCCCCTCCAAAGATATAAACATTAGCACTTACCTTGACTTCTAAACCATCAGTAACAGGTCTCCCCTCCAAAGATATAAACATTAGCACTTACCTTGACTTCTAAACCATCAGTAACAGGTCTCCCCTCCAAAGATATAAACATTAGCACTTACCTTGACTTCTAAACCATCAGTAACAGGTCTCCCCTCTAAAGATATAAACATTAGCACTTACCTTGACTTCTAAACCATCAGTAACAGGTCCCCCCTACAAAGATATAAACATTAGCACTTACCTTGACTTCTAAACCATCAGTAACAGGACTCCCCTCCAAAGATATAAACATTAGCACTTACCTTGACTTCTAAACCATCAGTAACAGGTCTCCCCTCCAAAGATATAAACATTAGCACTTACCTTGACTTCTAAACCATCAGTAACAGGTCTCCCCTCCAAAGATATAAACATTAGCACTTACCTTGACTTCTAAACCATCAGTAACAGGTCTCCCCTCCAAAGATATAAACATTAGCACTTACCTTGACTTCTAAACCATCAGTAACAGGTCTCCCCTCCAAAGATATAAACATTAGCACTTACCTTGACTTCTAAACCATCAGTAACAGGTCTCCCCTCCAAAGATATAAACATTAGCACTTACCTTGACTTCTAAACCATCAGTAACAGGTCTCCCCTCCAAAGATATAAACATTAGCACTTACCTTGACTTCTAAACCATCAGTAACAGGTCTCCCCTCCAAAGATATAAACATTAGCACTTACCTTGACTTCTAAACCATCAGTAACAGGTCTCCCCTCCAAAGATATAAACATTAGCACTTACCTTGACTTCTAAACCATCAGTAACAGGTCTCCCCTCCAAAGATATAAACATTAGCACTTACCTTGACTTCTAAACCATCAGTAACAGGTCTCCCCTCCAAAGATATAAACATTAGCACTTACCTTGACTTCTAAACCATCAGTAACAGGTCTCCCCTCCAAATATATAAACATTAGCACTTACCTTGACTTCTAAACCATTAGTAACAGGTCTCCCCTCCAAAGATATAAACATTAGCACTTACCTTGACTTCTAAACCATCAGTAACAGGTCCCCCCTCCAAAGATATAAACATTAGCACTTACCTTGACTTCTAAACCATCAGTAACAGGTCTCCCCTCCAAAGATATAAACATTAGCACTTACCTTGACTTCTAGACCATCAGTAACAGGTCTCCCCTCCAAAGATATAAACATTAGCACTTACCTTGACTTCTAAACCATCAGTAACAGGTCTCCCCTCCAAAGATATAAACATTAGCACTTACCTTGACTTCTAAACCATCAGTAACAGGTCTCCCCTCCAAAGATATAAACATTAGCACTTACCTTGACTTCTAAACCATCAGTAACAGGTCTCCCCTCCAAAGATATAAACATTAGCACTTACCTTGACTTCTAAACCATCAGTAACAGGTCTCCCCTCCAAAGATATAAACATTAGCACTTACCTTGACTTCTAAACCATCAGTAACAGGTCTCCCCTCCAAAGATATAAACATTAGCACTTACCTTGACTTCTAAACCATCAGTAACAGGTCTCCCCTCCAAAGATATAAACATTAGCACTTACCTTGACTTCTAAACCATCAGTAACAGGTCTCCCCTCCAAAGATATAAACATTAGCACTTACCTTGACTTCTAAACCATCAGTAACAGGTCTCCCCTCCAAAGATATAAACATTAGCACTTACCTTGACTTCTAAACCATCAGTAACAGGTCTCCCCTCCAAAGATATAAACATTAGCACTTACCTTGACTTCTAAACCATCAGTAACAGGTCTCCCCTCCAAAGATATAAACATTAGCACTTACCTTGACTTCTAAACCATCAGTAACAGGTCTCCCCTCCAAAGATATAAACATTAGCACTTACCTTGACTTCTAAACCATCAGTAACAGGTCTCCCCTCCAAAGATATAAACATTAGCACTTACCTTGACTTCTAAACCATCAGTAACAGGTCTCCCCTCCAAAGATATAAACATTAGCACTTACCTTGACTTCTAAACCATCAGTAACAGGTCTCCCCTCCAAAGATATAAACATTAGCACTTACCTTGACTTCTAAACCATCAGTAACAGGTCCCCCCTCCAAAGATATTAACATTAGCACTTACCTTGACTTCTAAACCATCAGTAACAGGTCTCCCCTCCAAAGATATAAACATTAGCACTCACCTTGACTTCTTAACCATCAGTAACAGGTCTCCCCTCCAAAGATATAAACATTAGCACTTACCTTGACTTCTAAACCATCAGTAACAGGTCTCCCCTCCAAAGATATAAACATTAGCACTTACCTTGACTTCTAAACCATCAGTAACAGGTCTCCCCTCCAAAGATATAAACATTAGCACTTACCTTGACTTCTAAACCATCAGTAACAGGTCTCCCCTCCAAAGATATAAACATTAGCACTCACCTTGACTTCTTAACCATCAGTAACAGGTCTCCCCTCCAAAGATATAAACATTAGCACTTACCTTGACTTCTAAACCATCAGTAACAGGTCTCCCCTCCAAAGATATAAACATTAGCACTTACCTTGACTTCTAAACCATCAGTAACAGGTCTCCCCTCCAAAGATATAAACATTAGCACTTACCTTGACTTCTAAACCATCAGTAACAGGTCTCCCCTCCAAAGATATAAACATTAGCACTTACCTTGACTTCTAAACCATCAGTAACAGGTCTCCCCTCCAAAGATATAAACATTAGCACTTACCTTGACTTCTTAACCATCAGTAACAGGTCTCCCCTCCAAAGATATAAACATTAGCACTTACCTTGACTTCTAAACCATCAGTAACAGGTCTCCCCTCCAAAGATATAAACATTAGCACTTACCTTGACTTCTAAACCATCAGTAACAGGTCTCCCCTCCAAAGATATAAACATTAGCACTTACCTTGACTTCTAAACCATCAGTAACAGGTCTCCCCTCCAAAGATATAAACATTAGCACTTACCTTGACTTCTAAACCATCAGTAACAGGTCTCCCCTCCAAAGATATAAACATTAGCACTTACCTTGACTTCTAAACCATCAGTAACAGGTCTCCCATCCAAAGATATAAACATTAGCACTTACCTTGACTTCTAAACCATCAGTAACAGGTCTCCCCTCCAAAGATATAAACATTAGCACTTACCTTGACTTCTAAACCATCAGTAACAGGTCTCCCCTCCAAAGATATAAACATTAGCACTTACCTTGACTTCTAGACCATCAGTAACAGGTCTCCCCTCCAAAGTCTGCAGTTTAACCCTCGCTCCAGGAAGCAGCGTAGAGAATATAGAGCCGAAATCCTTGTTCACCTGCTCCCAGGCTCTCCTGACTGCTCTGTTCTTCTTCTCGTCCAGCTCCTTGATCACCTTGTTTATCTTGTGCTTGTCGTTAGTCACAATGTCCTTCCTTTTCACCAGGTCGATGTACCGTTTCTCCGCTTCTCCTAGCAGGTGCATTGCTCTCATGTTCACATTCTTGGACAGTTTATCTTTACTTGCCTTCAGACGCTCCAACTTCTTATCACTTTCTTTCAGGTCCTGTTTCTCAAAGTCGTAGGCAGTGTCCCTCTGTCCGAAGTACTGCTTCTCAGAAGCAATCCACTCATAGTTGTTGAGGTAATACTGGACCTGCTGCTTTGCTTCGCTCGCTTCCTTGTTCAGTTTACTCAGCTTGTGAGTCAGCTCCTTCAGCTTTATCCCGCAGCTACTTATCAGCTTCTCCGCTGCTTTCTGCTCCTTCACAAAGTTCTCTATCTCAGCAGAACACTGTTGTATCAGTTCACGCTGAGCCCCAAGTTCAGCAGCCAGTGTCTCCCTCACCGCCGCGCACTCAGTTAGCTTTAACTGGGCTCCCTCCACAAGCTCCTGAGCAGCAGCTATAGCCTCCTCGCATTTAGGCAGCTGCTCTCGCAGACCCTCCACTCCTTAGCTAGTTCACTGCTCACCTCCAACTCTAGTTCTTTCAACTTGTTCACCTTTGCTTTCGCCTCCTTCGAACACTTGTTTAATTTACTCTTTGCGTCTAATATCCTCCTCTCCGACTTCTTCAGTTCTTTCTCTTGTTCAGATTTGAAGTTCTTCATCTTAGCTTCCACTTCCGCGCACTTCTTTAAGAGACTCTTTTCTTTGTCGTTAAAATTATCTACAATTTCCTTTTGCTTTGCAAGGTCCTCCTTAGTCCTCCTCAACTCCTCTATGTCTTTGTAGTGAGAGGTCTGCTTCAATCTTTCTTCTAATAAATCACGCTCGTGCTTCTTCAACCTCAGCTGTCCTGTCAGTTCCTCCCACTGGTGAACAACTCTTTCCATTTTACTCAACTCTCCCTCTACCTGTCTGTACTGCTCTTTGTACTAAGTGAGATCAGATCTGGACTGTTTGCAGGCAGAGAGTTCTTTAAGAACACATCTAGAAGTGTTCCTGGACCCTCCCGTTAGAGTACCTGCCGGATCGTATACATCTCCCTCCAGAGTAATAACCTTCCTCTTCACTGACTTGTCGAATGCTACTTTCTTAGCTTGCTCCTTAGTTTTACAGATGAGAACTCCTCCTCCTCCTCCTCCTCCTCCTCCCCCTCCTCCTCCTCCTCCTCCTCCTCCTCCTCCTCCTCCTCCTCCTCCTCCTCCTCCTCCCCTCCTCCTCCTCCTCCTCCTCCTCCTCCTCCTCCTCCTCCTCCTCCTCCTCCTCCTCCTCCTCCTCCTCCTCCTCCTCCTCCTCTCCTCCTCCTCCTCCTCCTCCTCCTCCTCCTCCTCCTCCTCCTCCTCCTCCTCCTCCTCCTCCTCCTCCTCCTCCTCCTCCTCCTCCTCCTCCTCTCCTCCTCCTCCTCCTCCTCCTCCTCCTCCTCCTCCTCCTCCTCCTCCTCCGTCCTCCTCCTCCTCCTCCTCCTCCTCCTCCTCCTCCTCCTCCTCCTCCTCCTCCTCCTCCTCCTCCTCCTCCTCCTCCTCCTCCTCCTCCTCCTCCTCCTCCTCCTCCTCCTCCTCCTCCTCCTCCTCCTCCTCCTCCTCCTCCTCCTCCTCCTCCTCCTCCTCCTCCTCCTCCTCCTCCTCCTCCTCCTCCTCCTCCTCCTCCTCCTCCTCCTCCTCCTCCTCCTCCTCCTCCTCCTCCTCCTCCTCCTCCTCCTCCTCCTCCTCCTCCTCCTCCTCCTCCTCCTCCTCCTCCTCCTCCTCCTCCTCCTCCTCCCTCCTCCTCCTCCTCCTCCTCCTCCTCCTCCTCCTCCTCCTCCTCCTCCTCCTCCTCCTCCTCCTCCTCCTCCTCCTCCTCCTCCTCCTCCTCCTCCTCCTCCTCCTCCTCCTCCTCCTCCTCCTCCTCCTCCTCCTCCTCCTCCTTTTGGTGCCGTCACAAGTTTCCCACTGCATTTTGTTACTATTTTATTTTGAGTAATTAGATCGTGATAGTGTCTTGGTAGCTAAATCTAATTTGCACCGTAATTATAAATTTTTACAAAATAATATCCGAAAACTTTGTCGGTTCATTAGATCATTGATCTCGAGCAAAATAAATCCAATTACACATATTATAAAGCAGATCAAGGTCGCCGCAATTTATCGAAGACCGGAATTTTTCAAACAACTCTACAACTCAAAAGCTGTCAACTTTCGTCTGAAGACGAAATTGTCACGCGTATTATATTAACCAATCAGAGCACAGTATTCACACCACGCGTATTAAATTAACCTAAGTACATATTTGGAGGAGATTCTCAAAGACTGGAACCTCCAAGTAAGTTATTTTAAAACTGGACTCAGTACCTTCTACCTGGCGAAAAAAATCCGATAAAGACACAAACGGACAGCCATCAGCTAATAACGAACCATGGCGAAGTAATAAGTCACTAGGTTCCTTACTGTGTACTGAGAAGGACATTCAAAGAAGGAGAATCCTAGCTGAGATTGCTTTTAAGAACTTTGAAAAAGTATGGTTGTCCGGTAAGAAAATTTCCTTTGAAAGAAAGCTGAGGTTTTATGATGCTCAAGTTGTATCTGTATTGGATTATAACTCAAATAGTTGGAGTCCTAAGAAAGCAACCATGGAGAAAATGGACACACTTCATCGTAGACACCTCAGGTCCACTTTAAACATCAAATGGCCTAAAGGTATGATCAGCAACAAAGCATTGTATGTAAGGGGGGGGGGGGGGGGGTTTATCCAAGCGTATTGAACACCAGCGTGGAAAATGTTTGACACATTCTCAGAGTATGGAAAACAACCCACCCAAACGGCTCTCTCATTTGCTTTGAATCAGATAATTTTATTCATTGGAAGATTGGGGAACCTAGAATGAACTTTGTTATCGGTTTTAAGAATGATTTAAATAGTAGAAGTTTGCAAATGGACATCTTGTATGAATTGGAACGAAATTAAAGATATAGCTGCAATGCAACAGATGTTGAAATCTTGTTCAAGGTACAGTTTTACCGCATTAAGAATTTTTAAGAATCATTTTTGTTTCGTAAGATCCTGTTTTATCATAATAATAATAGATGAAATTCTGACAAAAATAAAATGCATGGAAATCAAGATCAAAATATGTCCTGAACATCTGAAGTTGGTTTTGTTCACCACGTACCGCCGTTACAGTGACCTTTGGATTCAAATAAACCTAGACTGGAACTGGAAGAAAAACATAAACAGTGAACTAATAGTAACGCAATTCTGCTAAATTGCCAAGTAATGAGGGCCGGGTGCGTGATATATAAAATTCTATATTTGTCAAGATTTTTCGATTCCATTTTCCAAAAACAACCGTTAAAACTCTGACATCATAAATTCAAATTTGCGATGCCTATTCGCATAAATCAGATGAATTGGATAACCCACCTTACTCGGGAAATTATACGGGTTAATTATGACTGGGAAAATTAATACCCGGAAAATATGGCGGACTTTCCCAAAACCCGCCAAATTATCCCCGGTCATGGTATTTACCGGTGGCCGACCTTTCAATTTTTTTTTTCAGAGGTCAACAAATTTTCAACCGTAATTTCTGTTTTGTGTTACTTGTTAAAGAAGTTATTTCAATTTACAGTTACTGAGATATACTCGAAATAGAAAAAAAGACACGTCTATATTACAGGAAAATAAATCATAACAATAATAAGTCAAATCTTCAGTAACGTTTCTCATTCTCATTTCGGCTAATGTCCCCCTCCATTAATCATTATTGGATATCCCCCTGCTGCTGACCGTCAAATTCGAAGTTGTATTGTTGTGTTCAAGAGCTTTCATTTTGTCCGCTAATGGGGCTACTGCTCCTGAAGTCAGCTCGAGCTTTTAATTTCCTGCCCACCGCTTGGTAAATGGGGAACGTCTTGCTTTGCATCTCAACTGCTCCCGTGAATCAATCCACCGTGGGACCATGAAATAGCTGGCACAGGTTTTACTCACTTCATGGGCAAGAAAAGTGAAATCACGGTCACCCAAAATCTGATTTCCCCTGCGTTCAAAAGTCTTCTCTACACATTAGACTTCAGTAAAATATGATGATCACCACCCCCTTTGGAACCCATAATCTGATCGACGGTTTTTTTTAATTCGGTAAAATTTTTGACCGGGAAAAATAGGGCGGAATCTTCCAAAACCCGCCACTTTATCCCGGGTATAATTATCCCGAGTAAGGTAGTCACTAGTTCCACTGAATCTATTTCGAGACGTTGCTTCTACCTGAGTTAGATATGGTGGGAAATCTGTATCGGGATGGTCTAGGAGAGTTCTTGGATCGTGACAGGAGCAGCTTCATACTCATCACCTTCTCTTCTCTGTTGGGTTGTGGTCGAAGGACTTATGCACGAAGAGGTGCCGGAAATTGGGGACCGCCCTAACAAACATTTCCATCGAATGACTTAAAATTTTACTTCTGATAACGGATCAAAATTAAAAATCCGTCTAATAATAATATCAGATGCTTTGTTTTATACGTATAGCGTTTCACCGGCCCTTCCTGTTTTCACAGACTCTTATCGACCATTTGTTTAATTCTTATCTACAGGATCGGACGTTGAGACAAGAGCGAATGATTTTTTAAATTAAATCCAATACAATTATCAATTGGGTATGTGTGCACTGTGCCGTGCACCTCTAATTTTTTTTAGTCATGAGCACACGTGGGTCAATGGAAGAGGGGTCTACATTTGTAATCGTGTAAATTCATTGACTGACTTGTCCCTTTTCTCCTTGCACCTGGCCTTGATTATATGTGCCGACTTTTAAACAAAAAGCTTAGTTTTGGAACTGGCATGTCAAGACTCAAGAAATACTGCCCAGGATTTAGACGCCATGTCGTAGCAAAGCAAACGATATAGCAATTAACCTATAATTCTTGCGGTGTGTTTATGAAATACGGTGGGGGGGGGGGGGGGGGGGGGGGGGGGGGGGGGGGGGGGGTTGCTTTGTTTCCAGGAAAGTATGTACTATTCAAGTATCAACGGCCCCTTTCTGGCCCTAATTGTCAAATGTTAGAATTCTATAAAAATTTTGACTTTTCGTAAAAGAAGCCAATCATTGAATACTTTATACCATAGTATTGTGTATTGGCATTGCGGACTTCACAGCAAATAAATAAAAACTCATACAAATCCATAATTTAAATTAATTGGCCCCATTTGTCAATTCTTATCTACAGGATTGGACGGTGAGATAATGAGTTTATTTAAATTAAATCTTAATACACTTATCATATGGGGTACGTTTGGCACTGTGCCTGCACCTCTAATTAGTCTAGCACGTTGTCTATTGAAGAGGGCTACATTTGTAATCGGTAAATCATGACTGGACTGGTCCTCTTTTCTCCTTGCACCTTGCCCTTGATTAGATGTGCCGACTTAAAAACAAAATTGGCTTAGTTTTGAACTGCATTGTCAAGACACAAGAAATACTGCCCAGGATTTTAGACGCCAGTCAGAGCAACGAATATAGCAATTAACCTATAATTCCTGCGTGTGTCTATAGTAAAATACGGTTGAGTTGTTCCAGGATAGTATGTATATTCAAGTTATCAACGGCCCCTTTTTCTGGCCCCTAATGTCAAATGTTAGAATGTCCAAAAAAATTTACTTTTCGTAAAAGAAAAGCCAATCAATTGAATAAGTTATAACATAGTATTGTTGTATTGGCATTGCCGGACTTCACAGCAAATTATAAAAACGCGTCCATAACAATTCATTAATTTGATTCAATTGCCCATTTGTCAATTCTTATCTACAGGATCGGACGTTGAGAATAATGAGTATTTTAAATTAAATCTTAATACAATTATCAAATGGTACGTGTGCAACTGTGCCTGCAACCTCTAATTATTCTAGCACGTGGTCTATGG